CCCCGGCGTCGGCGTTAGCGTCGGCGTTGGCGTCACACCTTGGTTAAGTTTTTCGTACCACCCCACTTTATTTCAGAAGTATTACAAGTATGGCTTTGAAACTTACCATACTTGTTCACCATCATAACCTCCATCTACAGACAAGAGTACATAACTCTGTCAAGGTTTTTGACAGAATTATGGCCCTTTTTTGACTTAGAAAGTGTATTGAGCTTGGTTAAGTTTTTTGTACCACCTCACTTTATTTCAAAACCATTGGAGGTATTGCTTTGAAACTGACCATACTTGTTTACCATCACGACCTTCATCAACAGACAAGAGGACATAACTCTGTCAAGGTTTTTGACAGAATTATGCCCCTTTTTGACTTAGAAAATACATTGAATATCATATTCTGGTCGCCGGATGACAAAACGATGACCGCCCGGTGCCTGTACATGAATCGTCCGGGTACCGGGCAATAATCGTTTGACTACTTGTCTCTATTCAGGCAACGGGCGGGGCCCGGCCGATGTCCGCCCGGACGCCATTTAAATCGGACGGTGTTTTAGTAGAACAAGAAATCGCCCGATCAAAAAATCATCGCCCGGTCGCCACCAGGCGACCGAGCGATGTCCGCTCGATGATGTTTATACTCAGTGACCCCAAAAATTATCGTCCGGCCGCCGTTAGCTTTTAAGTATTACTTAAAACTCGAAGGTGCCCGCCCGATGAGCAAAATTTTCAGCTGCTGCCGTCCGATAGTCACTGCCGCCAGACGGACGCCGGCCGATATTGCGATTTTTTGGAGAAACAGACGCCGCCCGGCGGCATCAAATTGTTTGTTTAGGGTAACCTTCCCAAAATTGCTAGGTAGGGTAGGTAGGGATTTTTTTTTATTTTTTTAATTTTTTTTTTTCAAAATCAGTCGTAAGTTCAGAGTGTTTTCTTGCACATGGCAGTCTTTCCTACACTACTGACATTGCTTGACTTTGTATTATCATATTTTATCATATAAACAATAATTCTGATTAAAATCTGCATAGCTTAAATGCCATTTAATGTTATTTCAATATTGAATAAAGACAATATACCCAAACATGTGTTAATTTTGATGTTTGTTTGCTACAGGCACTACTTTAAAGTTTGACTCTAACCTGAACAGCAAACATTGCAGATTCTCATCAGCTTGCATGGTTGCAATTCTGCTGATCTGAGTCTACATTGGTTGCATGGTAGGAGTTAAGGACAATAAAAGACCTAAAATGACATGCTGTGATCTGGCTTTCAAAGTTTCAGTTAAAAAATCTAGACTTATTCTGTTTTTCACTATTTGATATTCATGCATTAAATACTGCACATTTCATTGAATTAACAATCTTGAAGCTCTTACAGTATAACAAAGTTTATATTTTGACACTGTGGTACAATTTAACAAAATCTATAATTCTGAATTGCACTTTTGATACACTGGTTCACATAAAAAGTGCAAACACTTCTATTTGTAAAATGACACCCTTGTCAATCAAATACTATTTATTTCTATCAGATACATGTATATCAACATATCAAAGACAATAGCCAAGCTTTTTGATGAATTGGCATTTTGTAGATGTCATTCAAAGTGTCGTCTCATAGTGTCCATGGCCCATCTGAAAAAAAAGCAAAGACTAGGTCTCAATAACACATGGAAAATGGGATACATTTGTGACGGTATGAAACAAAATGATGCACAGTAGAGTCAGACTCCAAGTCTGGTAAAAATTTGTTTCAGTATGCAAAAGAGGATGAAAAATATACTGGAAAAGCTTTGCAGATCTCCAGAATAGCTATGTACATATGACCTGTGGCTATACTTTATACTCAAGTGCACTTAGTCTTGATTTTCAGTGGGACCAGGGTCTCATTCATTTTGAAGTGTGGCACAGGACATATCAAAACAGCTTTTCAAATTTTTAAATATTAAAAGAAATAAAAAAAATAGTGGCATTGATTTGAACTACAATGTGTTAAACCTTGTTATTTATGCAATAAAATATCAATATACTAAAAAAAAAAAAAAAAAATTTCACTGACAGGTATGCATGATCCGAGTACGAAAATTATGGGTATGTTCGTTCTCGGTGTCAAAATTTTCCACCGGCAGGTAATATCGTCGGATTTTCGCATGGAATCAATGCAATATATATTTTCTATCAAAATTGTCTATGAACAGATCCTTATTTACACGTAAATTTACCACAGTAAAGCCAGAAAGTCAGAAATCACCCAGGTCCGAAAGATGAGATCGTCATGACATGTACATTATAGCCTGGTATTTACGCTTGAAATACTACATCAACAAAGAGATCAAACGGGTCGAACACACATGCTAACAACTGGATTTTACATACTTTTAAATGGTTTTATCCTCCACGAGTGACACTAAGTCCTATGTGCCTGTATTTTAAGAAAAAATCTTCATGTATAAGAAATTCCTAAGTCGGAAGTGTTTTCCCGCAACACGTGCTTGGTACCCTGTTCCGCTCTATGTCAATGTATTTAAAACGGAAGCCAGAGAATACTTCCGGTAGGAATTACCTTCTAAAAATATCGTCGTCATGTAGAATTTTTGTTTCCAATAGTGTGATATTCATTGGACCGCAATACAGCACGAACCAATCAAAACACGTATAACTAAAAATAACCGATCCAAATCGTCTGAGAGTTTTACGACAGCGTATCAAGCGTTCAATTCGCATTTATCCGCCCTTTGAAACTCTCTATTCGCTAACGAATATATTTTTTTGTTGTTCAAAAACGGAAAAAAATAGTTAGGGTCGGCGCATTTTTATACCCGAAACAAACATATTTTTTTTTTAGGCCTTAGTAAGCGAACAGCATGAATCCTGATCAGACTGCGCAGATGTGCAGTCTGGTCTGGATCCATGCTGGTCGCAAACCCATTATGTTGGTTTTTGTCATCATTCGCGGGTCATTTGTCTCTCAACACTGATTTAGGAAATCATCTAGGATAAGTTGCCAGTCACTTGTGGAGAATTAATTAAGTTGGTACAATATTTTCTGCTTAAAGTTATACAGGAGACTGACCACCAAGAATGACCAAAAATGTGTTAAAATCTGCAAAAGAACAGATAACCAATCAAACAAAACTGAGAACCAAACACAAAGAAATAGAACAAAACCAGTTTATAAATGAAAGAATATTGAACAATTTCTGAAGTGCTAAGCTACAAGAGGAGGCTGTTATGATGTTTCTCTCTTGCGAGAAGTATTAGTGTCAATTTTAATGGATTTTACTAGAACTTTATTGCACACAAGTGCATAGAAAATGAATATTTAATTCCTCTTTTATATTTATGTGAAAATTGCGGAAAATCTGTGATTGCTTAAAGGCACATTTTGCCTCAGAAATTATACATTTGTTTTATGCCTAAGAAATGTCAAACATTTGTTAAGTAATGTTTTAATAATGGATTTACAGCATGTTAGATGTTAAACAACTGAGGAAAGTACTTGCTGAATGTGCAGTTATGCATTATAAAGGTATCAAAATTTAAACAAAGCAGTTAATTGACTTCCATACAAAATACTGATTTCACAATATATAGTTATACCAACTGCCAGCAGAGAAAAAGAAGCTAATGATAATTCATGTATGGGTATGGCAAATTTATCTCGAAACTTACAAGCATGATAAGGACTGGTCACTGTATAAGGCCCATAACTCTAACATCATTTTGACATAATTATGGCCCTTATTTTGAACTTTAAATAATGATTCATTATCCAGGCTCTTGTTTTACTATCAGTCTCTGAGAATAGTAAAGCACTCTGTCCTACTAATGAATTAAAGGTATTGGATTTCTTGTTATATCTGAAACCATTCAGTGAAAAATGTTGGGAGAATATCTCAGATTATATGTGCACAAAGCTTAGGACATTAACAAAAAACAACATCTGTTACCATAGAGTATAATTATATATGTTATCAATATTTGATGTCAACCCCATACTATGTTATATTACTGTTATAACTTACCTTGATAGTTTTCAGAGTCTCTTTTTATTAAGGTCAGAGGTCAAGGTCTTATAAATCTTTTATACAAATGTTGATATGTGAAGTTCTCAACAGCATGACAACAATTAGAATTTACACATTCTGTTATCAAACATGAGGTCACACATTGAGTATTGATCGCAAAACTGTTGTAAGTCCTTCTTTATTTCATATAAGTTACTGCAGTTATCCAGGCAACTCTCGACATACTTAAACCAACATTAATGATAGTCTTTGCCACAAGCTTTTTGTCACTCAAGGTGCCCCTCCTCACATTATTTAACTACTTGTTGCATGGCTGATACCTATTAAATTGACTGAAACCGGACCCACTTTGTTTTGTGTGTTTCATATCCTTTATTCTTTATATTAACTACCTCAGAGTAGTACCACTGAATTTTACCTTCCTAAGAATGCGTTCTCCACCTTTACCCTGCCGGAACAAAAGTAAGGGTCTTTTCCACATACCAGTAAAGAGCAAGGCAGTGATGTCTGACCAGGCTCTTAATTGAATTGCTTGAAATGTTTATCTTGATATCCCTCAAAATAGAAAATGAACAGTTCCAAAATGGAAGCTGGACAAGTTTAAAGCAGGTTAAGGGTTAATGGTTCTGTGGTGAACTTCTAATGTCAAGGTTGAAGGTCATACTTTGAGTGAAGCAGCTGCTTGATTTAGTAAATATACAAGTTGTTCATATTTAGTAAGACAAAACCGTATATGTCAAGTAAATGTATCTGAAAGTACAAAATTATTTGATGGTGTGTGACCTTGGATAATGAAGATCAAAGAAGAATGACCTAATAATGACCTATTTGACCCAGATAAAAGTGGGTAAATTGGTAATAGATAATCCTAGAAAAGAAATGTGATGCCTGACTTTAGATTAATAAGAAAATGTTACTTTGAAATAGATTATATAGCTAATAATTACATTTTGTATATTGTTATGTTTTGTTACAGATTACGTGGAAACCCCCAACAAACATATGGTGAAGACCTTGACCTTAAAACAGGAGGTGGTAATGGCCAGACATCGGTGAACACTATCACTGGTGGTGAACTTGACTTACCAAGTAAGTTTTTGATTCAAATCTACACTGTTTAAGGTCATTGTTTGACTTTCTAGCTTTGCTGGTGTAGGAAAACATCAGTTGACCCTCTTAGACTGTACAGTATTCTTCTACAATGTATAAACAAGTGGTCATTTCTGTGAAAGCTTCAATTTTTACAGTGTAGGATGATAGCTAGGATGATAATAGCATGAAAGATGTTACATAGAAGTTGAAGCTGTTGTTATAGGGGCAAGTGATTTGATACCTCAATGTTTACCCTCTATGCACATTTACGGCCCCCTTTCATAGCTACATGTAAAATCAGGCTTAAATAATTGGATTACATTCTGTTGTATTTGAAAAACAAACAAAAACAACAACAAAAAAGAAACAACAATATAAAAACAGACCCCAACAAGTTTATTGGCCCATTGTCATATGTTTTTTTTCCAAGCAGCTTATTTTGTCAATAATGCAACTTCCTGATTTATATAGAGGGGAAAATGAGGTTGAGATATCTATTTACCAAAGCTTTCTCCTTGTCATGATTTTAAGATTAGTGTCAGAAATGCTTTTAGATGAGGTTTAATGTTTTAATTACATATGCAAATTAGGAGATAAAAAACAAATTAAACCAGGAAGAAGAGTTAATCTGAGTATTTTAATGAAGATTTTTTTTTTTAACTGATGTATAGCCAATTTCAGTCAATGTTTTTATTGCCAAAGGCAGTTTTCCACCAGCAAATAATGACAATGTTTTAATGCGTAGAAATAAACAAGTTGACCAATCATAGTGTAAATTTCAAATGATGGGCAAAAAGTTACGCTTGAAACTTGAAGATCCTAATGCCAAAAAAATACCGACAAAAGGTCAATAAAACAGGTTCAAGATTAAATTTGCAATTAGAATTGAAAGCAAACACAACAGAAAGGTTTTTTTCTTTTTGTGTTTTGTATTTGTTATTTTAAGCATGTAACCCCCACCAATTTTGTAATAGTAATCTACTTAAAACCTAGGTCACAAATAAGAAAATGCCGCCGGGCGGCGTCTGTTTCTCCAAAAAATCGCAATATCGGCCGGCGTCCGTCTGGCGGCAGTGACTATCGGACGGCAGCAGCTGAAAATTTTGCTCATCGGGCGGGCACCTTCGAGTTTTAAGTAATACTTAAAAGCTAACGGCGGCCGGACGATAATTTTTGGGGTCACTGAGTATAAATATCATCGAGCGGACATCGCTCGGTCGCCTGGTGGCGACCGGGCGATGATTTTTTGATCGGGCGATTTCTTGTTCTACTAAAACACCGTCCGATTTAAATGGCGTCCGGGCGGACATCGGCCGGGCCCCGCCCGTTGCCTGAATAGAGACAAGTAGTCAAACGATTATTGCCCGGTACCCGGACGATTCATGTACAGGCACCGGGCGGTCATCGTTTTGTCATCCGGCGACCAGGCTGCTTATGTTTGTTGTAATTTCAGCTTGAAGAAGTTGTAATTGCCTCAAAATTATATTTGTGAATTCTTTTGAATACTTAAGTAAACATGATTTTTTTCTTCAATGTCCATGCGAATGTCTGATTGATTTTCGCCTTCTACGGCCTCGATACTGGCCGTGGTGACTCGGTGTCAACAACACGGACCATCTCCTTGGCCTTCCCCTTGGCTTTGGCAGCTGACTTCTTTACTGGCATAATTACAACTGGCTGAAGTATGTCATTAAATGTAAAGTCATTGTCACCTGGCGCCCGCGCGGCAACCGTCCGATTCACTTTTTAATCGCAAAGGCGCCGTACGGACATCGGGCGGCGACTGCCCGATACGTTCAATTCTTTCTGTAAAATCCATTCGGCAAAAATCGCCTGATGACTGTTTCATTCATGACCACGCAAGGTATCAGATTTAAAACCGCCCGGCATCCACGACATCAAAAAATCTGTCGATTTTATAAAAATCGTTTAATCGGACGGCGCCCGTTTTATTCGTGACCTAGGCATAAGGGATTCAATTAAGATAAAGATAGTTCACTGTCACTGTGTGTTGTTTACAGAGTTATGTTTGTTGTTTTCATTACTGGCTTTTTGTGTTTAAGAATAAAAATGATGGAAAATTGTTTACTGGTTGCCATTTAAATATAAGCTATTTCAACCCTGGCTTATTGGTTATTATGCACACTGTTGCTGATAAGTTAATGTGATGTAAAATTTGAAATCACTTTTATTAAATGATTGAGATAAGTTTATATGATAAAACAGTAGAAATCTCTTTTAATATTGATATCATTTATACATGCTAGCTTATAGCTTATAATAAATTATTAGTCTAGTATTTTAACTAATTACAAAGTTGGCTTATTGTGAACTTTGTAAGAATACAGTGCTTTATTGTGAATGACTTATTGTGAATACACTCCATTGTGAGTAATATAAGAATGCACTCCATTGTGAATGACTTATTGTGAATGTTTGTTTACACTAAATTGTTTAATACATGTAGCTTTAGTTAAACCAGTTTTGTTATGAAGTACACTTATTTCTTTTATTTAATTGCAGGGATTGCATACATTTTGAAATGCCTTTTAATGCACTCTGTTAATAAACTTTGCAAGGACCTTATGAAGCTTATTGTAAATTCTCTTTTCTGAGACTTGGAATCCAAAATTTTCATTGGTCAATTCATCTATGTGACGGTTTCCGACCAATCGGTTACCTGAGATCTGAGTTTGAACTTGGAAAATTTTATCCTGGAGTACTTCATTTTTGACATGACACAGAGCCTGGCTTGTGAATTATGTTATTATGCACACTTATTTATTGTTAAGAAATACCTGGCTTTTACATAACTATAATTATTGCTTGATTTTTTTTCTGTTTTCAAGACATCACCGATTTTATTATTTTTCTTTACTTGCATCTAAAGTGGAGATAGTGAGTCGATATTCGAGTGAGAATTTAGAGGCCCTCGTCAGTAAGTGATGTTTTTGTTATGCTGTATGGCTTAACGGATCTTTTGCCTTTTTGTAGAATTGTTGTTATACTTTGTTGTAGACTGCCATGTTCTTATGAACGAGCATTGCAAAGATTTATTTTGCTTATTTAAAAAAAAACAAAAAAACCCATAACCTTTGGCCTGCTGAATTTCTTAAATGCACTAGCCTCTGAGGTAATATTTTAGCAATTTTTTAAGCTTTGGTATATCAGGATGAAAATTTTAATTTAGTAAAGACAGAAGTGTTAAAGGAACTTCACAAAAACCTAGAAACTTAAAATTTTAATTTCTCTCATAGATTAGCTGGGGTACATAAAACAGAAGAATATGCAAAAAAATAATGAAGATATAATTATACTCAGAATTAAATGGAAAATTACAATTTTGTCATCTTGATTTGAGTGTTAAAGGGACTCCTGGTGACTGAGGTTTATAAGCCTAAAAACATAAAGTTTTAATTTTTCACATAGATAAACATGAGCGCTTAAAACAGAAATATATATAAAATATAACCAAGAAATATACAAGAAATACATTGAAAATCATATGTTTGTGCTATTCTCAGTCCTATTTGCTAAACGCTTTTCAATTTTGGGTCATTTTTCACTATTATAATAATTATTCTGGAAAAACGGAGGGAGCTAATGATCTGAAATTTTGCACAAACGTTATTAGTGTAGATCTACATCAAATGGATTAATAATCTCAAAAAATTATTTCCAGTCCCGTCATGTCAAAAAACCTCAGTGGAGTCCCTTTAAGTGTTGGTTTAAACGCTTTTCAATTTTGGGTTAATTTTCACAGTAATAATAGTTATTCCAAAAAGACATAGTGAGCGAATGCTCTAAAATTTTTCACACAAGTTATTGTTCTAGATCTACATCAAATGGAACATTATAATCTTGAAAAATTATTTCCAGTTTGTCATGTCAAAAATTCTCAGTGGAGTCTCTTTTAGAGCCTGGGTAGATTGCAGGGAGATGCAGCTTAAATACTTGGGGCATTTAATGCTAATTTATACATAAAACATTTAGTTTTCAGAGGTTATGGGTTTCTATGTTAATGCCTTGTAGAATGAACATTTCACATTGTGGATTTGTTTTTTTGTTGTTGTTGTTTTTAGCTCGACTTTTCTATGAAAAGGGGAGCTATCCTACTCGCCCCGGCGTCGGCGTCGGCGTCACACCTTGGTTAAGTTTTTCGTACCACCCCACTTTATTTCAGAAGTATTACAAGTATGGCTTTGAAACTTACCATACTTGTTCACCATCATAACCTCCATCTACAGACAAGAGTACATAACTCTGTCAAGGTTTTTGACAGAATTATGGCCCTTTTTTGACTTAGAAAGTGTATTGAGCTTGGTTAAGTTTTTTGTACCACCTCACTTTATTTCAAAACCATTGGAGGTATTGCTTTGAAACTGACCATACTTGTTTACCATCACGACCTTCATCAACAGACAAGAGGACATAACTCTGTCAAGGTTTTTGACAGAATTATGCCCCTTTTTGACTTAGAAAATACATTGAATATGGGTAAAATCCACTTATTGCCTTAACCCTTTGAGATATTGCTTTGAAACTTTTAATGCTATTTCACATCATTACCCCCATCTGTACGCAAGAGAAGGTAACTCTGTCAAGGATTTGTTTTAAAAATTAAGGCCTTTTATCGACTTAGAATCTTGGTTAAGTTTTTAGTACCAGTCCACTTTTTGACTGAACTGTTTGAGATATTAATTTGAAAGTTGGAATACTTGTTTACAATCATGATTCCCAAACATGTCCAGGAGAAGGTAATTCTGTCAAAGATTTTATTTGAATTATGGCCCTTAACTGTCAATGTTTTGTATTATAGGCAAGCACTAAAAAACTTAAAAAAATCTAAAAAATTCATTCCTATCCACTTGTTCACTTTACCATAAATTATGTCATAATAAAATAATTCTTCACTAAATATCTTAATGCTCATGGCCATTGTTCACTTTAAAAATACAGAGATTCTTGTATTGCCTTTTACTGCAAAAACTTTTTTTATTGGCAAGCAATAAAAAAGTCGAGCGCACTGTCTTACGGACAGCTCTTGTTTTTTTAAACAGAACTATACTTTATGCATGAATCTTACAATGTGTCTAAATATTATGACAAGCTCTTAATTTTCTTTTCTTGTTAAGACAATTTTTTCTAAAACTGTTACTTAATTTTTATAAATTTTTATAAAATGACTTGCTCTACTGCCCATAGTAACATAATATTTGCTCTACTTCAAATTTGTAATTGCCCATAGTTATTTTTTTACGAGGTTTTAATATTAAATCAATGATAAAGAGCAGCCACTGTTACTTAATAGTTTTAATAAAGCAATTTATTGTAACATAGACATTTATATTGGATTATTTTATATAAAGTTCTTGTTGCAATTTGTGCCATTATTTCTTTATTTAATTTCGCTTTGTGTGCATTCTAATTGTACATAATTATAAGAACATTCTGTACTTTTATGTACTTAATTTGTACCATCTAAATCTATTTGAGGAGAATTTCTGGTTATTATGTCTTTAGGAAAAAATGGATTTTGATCTTCCCAGATATATCTTTTGGAGTATTAAAATGTTGATGGAATATTTTCCTCCTACTTCTGTAGAAAATTTCTGTTTATTTCTCTGTGTATTGTAGGTACCAAAGTGATTGACCTCTAACCACGGGCAGGGTGGGGTTGGGGTGGCCCGGGGGGTGGGGGGGGGAGGAGGTGGTAGTTTATCACTTGTCCATAATGGGTTAATTAAGGTCACTGAGGTTAGAACTAATTTTGTTACTTTTTGCCATTATGACTAATAAGACATTTTTTTTTATGCTCCTTGAAAAACTTTGGAGCCGGGTTCTCTTACTAATTGGTCAGTGGAGTCAAGGTCACCATGCTAAAACCACCCGAAAATGAAAAGTGTTGAAAATGTACAGTTATTATGGCTAAATGCAATGCTTTCACTTAAATATTATTATATAATGTAATTATTTTCAATTTAATTTTGAGCATATTTTTCTATTATCTTTTGCAATTTTTTTAATATAAAGTGCTTTACTTAATCTATGTAATATTTTCAAATGTTGTGTTTAAGGGCTTTCTTGTCCTCGGTGGATCTCCTGTAAAAACTTCCATCTTTCCCGCATCTTGAGGCATGTTTAAGTCTGATGTTCTACTCTTGCAATACTTAAGTTTCTTAAATTGCCTTGATTTTTCTTCTTTTTTCTTCCTCATAGAATTTTGATGAGATTTTTTACAGCTAGCAGTTTCATTAGTTGATAGCTATTGTTTTTTGGTTTGTCTGTATGAATGAAGTAAAATGTTACTTAAACACATGGTATTGATTAAGTGCATCTCATAAATTACATTGTACATTGAGGTAAAAAAAATCCTCTCAGGCAAAGGATTTTTTATTTTTGTAAATTCACATGATTTAATGATAATTGATTTTAAATAAAAGCTACATAATTCTTCAATAATTCTCCTTTTGTCATATGATCTTCTTCATCAACAAAACCCACATTGAAATGCTTTGCTTTTTATTTTAAGGTTGTCTTTTATTCAGATTATTCTTTTTTCAGTTGAAATGTATTTGATGTTGTTTGGTTGTGTTCGGAAAAAAAAACAACAGAAACACATTATTTTTGAGGAAACCTGGCAAATTTGTTAACATTTAACTTTATTGGTTTGCTGACATGTCAAATAAAAAGTTATTCTTCCATTTAAAAAAAAAAGAAGAAGTTTCTTCTATAACTGAAAGTGTTTTGCCATTGCAGTCTGACCTTGCTGAACACTGTTGACTGAATAACTTCAAAATAACATTTTATCTTGACATCCCAAGATTTGATAATGGACTGTTCCAAAAATAGAAACTGGGCTAATCTATTAAATAAATTCAGCTAATTAACTTCCCTTGAGTTAATGAACCATGGTTTTCTCAGGAATCAAGATTCAAGTTAGAGCCGGACAAAATGTATTTTTGTTTGTGTAGTATTTTATTTTTGCTATTGACAAATGCTTTAAAACAGGATTAAAAATGAAAACACGAAGAAAATGAGACAGTTCTTAATTTATCATCCCTTATAACATCAAATTGGAAGTCAAAGCATGCCCAGTGTTTTCACTCTTTCTAATCAATTGTTTCACAATTCTGTATTGTAATAAGAGAGGAGAATAATTGTGATGTCTTTGACCGACTGATAATGTACTTCAGACTGATGCACTTCAGGAAATACATTATTATGATACATAATAACAACAGTGTTCAAGATATTACCAGAATATTTATTGTTGGAAGAATTTAAACTGAAAACTTCATGTCAGTTTGCAATTTTCCCTAATGTTAAAACTGTTCCATTATTTGAATCAAATAGGTCTAATGGCTTTGCAAGTCACAATATTAAATTTGGATGCAACTCAAAATAGATCATCCAGGAAATCTCTTTATTAGTAAATGCATCATGGAGAAAATTGCAGTATAAAAAAGCTCTGATAAGTAACTAAAGCTCAAAGCAGTAACAACAAAAGCTCAAAGCAGAAGCAACAAAAGCTTTAAGCAGTAACAAGGTGTAATATAGTAAAGGCACAAAGATAGTAACAAGATGTGATATAGCAAAAGCTAAAAGCAGTAGCAATATGTTACACAGTGAAGGCCCAAAGATTAGTTTCATAATGCAATAGAACAAAAACTCAAAGGCAGTTTCAAGATGTAATGTAATAAAAGCTCAAAGGGTACTGTAACAAAATCTCAAAGGCAGTTGCAAGATGTAAAATAACAAAAGCTCAAAGGCAATTGGATGATGTAATGTGATAAAAGCTTAAAGGGTAATGAAAAGAAAGCTTAAAGGCAGTTGCAAGATGTACCATAACAAAAGCTCTAAGGGTAATGAAACCAAAGCTCAAAGGCAGTTGCAAGATGTAATGTAACAAAAGTTCAAAGTGTAATGAAACCAAAGCTCAAAGGCAGGTGCAAGATATAATGTAATTAAAGCTCAAAGGGTAATGAAACCAAAGCTCAAAGGCAGTTGCAAGATATAATGTAACTAAAGCTCAAAGGGTATTGAAACCAAAGCTCAAAGGCAGTTGCAAGATATAATGTAACAAGAGCTCAAAGGGTAATTTAACAAAATCTCAAAAGCAGTTGCAAGATGTAATGTAACAAAAGCTCAAAGTGTTATGAAACCAAAGCTCAAAGGCAGTTGCAAGATATAATGTAACAAGAGCTCAAAGGGTAATGAAACAAAATCTCAAAGGCAGTTGCAAGATAAAATGTAACAAAAGCTCAAAGGGTAATGAAACAAAATCTCAAAGGCAGTTGCAAAATAAAATGTAACAAAAGATAAAAGGGCAATGAACAAAAGCTCAATACAAGCTTCAATAAGAAGAAAGTTTGACTGTTCTGACTTAAATGTCACTTAACTGATTGCAACATAATGAAGTGTGATTTTTCAGCTGCAAATGTAACACCACATGCTGTCTTCTTTTTGTGACAGACGTCCCCATGACAATCGCAGATCTTCTTTACAAAATGAATTTAGGTGGAAGCTTTGCAAATTTGTTTGGTCCCGTGGGAATGTACGAATGCAATATCAAGTTATAAAAGTCTGCTACAGTTATTTGCTGATTACCATTGGCAAGTCCCTTCTGACTTACAGTATGTTATTACATTTTCTGTGAGATCAATAAATTGTGAAAACTTCTAAAAGGCTCTGATGACATGCCTTGTCTAATTCATTTCCATTATAATGCAGAAATTATAGTGATGAGTCAGCGGCATTTAAAGTTGAAGGTCAATGAAAAGAAAACAAGTTCCATATTAGGTGAGGGTTAAAAGATTTGATGTTTAGTCTTAAAACTTGTTATAACTGGATTGAATGAAGCCAGAAGTTGATGGCATTATGTATAAATTTTAAGGCTTGTAATATCTGTTTTAGGTAAGAAAGTTTAAGCCAAGTTCAAGGTCAGTTCCTTATTTAAATTATGAGAGATAAGGCAAGACATAATGGGATTAAGAACTTCAGGTGACCATCTTTAAAGAATAATGCCCTGTCAGTTTATAAGGCCAATGTGTTGTCTGTGAATGTCCCTTGTCATGTCTGTTCAGCTAGATATCAGGTCTGACATCACACTGGCATACTGTATTTTCAGTATGTTGTCGGATCATTCACATTTGTCAGGGGTGCAGAAATCCTTTGCCCAACTCCTTTGCCCAACTCTGGGATTTTTTGCCTTTGGACAAGTAGAACTTTTTGACATGCGGATATAATCAGTGAGCCAAAAAAGTAAAATCCATGAACAATAGAGAACAATTAAACTTTAAATTTCTTTATGAAATGTACATTTAATACATACAGTTGAGTTACAGCACTGTATGGTAAATATTTAGGCAAAATTTAAACAAAATAGAGTGATTTCATTGGCAGACAAACTTTTGCGAACTGTAATGGTATGAAAAGTTCACGCATTGACCAAGTTAAAATTTACGACTTAATGATTAATCATACACTGATGTCTGAAGGAGTATCAATTAAATAGGTGGCAGCAGAATTTGAGAGGAACATGAGACATCATTTATTATGTTGTTTTATAATAATACCTTTCATGTAATGTAATTGACTTAATGCTTTGTAATTAGATTTAATTGTAAAGACTTAAAGAGGAAGGAAAAACTAAAAAAAATAGAACCTTGGGAGTGACTCTTAGATAAAGAAGAAGGGAAAACTGGAAAAAAAATTAGAACCTTGGGAGTGACTCTTAGATAAAGAGGAAGGAAAAACTGGAAAAAAAATTAGAACCTTGGGAGTGACTCTTAGATAAAGAGGAAGGAAAAACTGGAAAAAAAATTAGAACATTGGAAGTGACTCTTAGATAAAGAGGAAGGAAAAACTGGAAAGAAAAATAGAACCTAGGGAGTGACTCTTAGATAAAGAGGAAGGAAAAACTAAAAAAAAATAGAACCTTGGGAGTGACTCTTAGATAAAGAGGAAGGAAAAACTGGAAAAAAAAATTAGAACCTTGGGAGTGACTCTTAGATAAAGAGGAAGGAAAAACTGGAAAAAAAATAGAACCTAGGGAGTGACTCTTAGATAAAGAGGAAGGAAAAACTGGGAAAAAAAATAAGAACCTTGGGAGTGACTCTTAGATAAAGAGGAAGGAAAAACTGGAAAAAAAAATAGAACCTAGGGAGTGTCTTAGATTTGTTTTGGTATTAACATTTATGCTGCTGGCAGTTACCTTTTCTACCCATGCCAACAAGTGATTGATCTTCGCTGTTCAGTCAATACATACAGGTTTTTTTTAAAGGCCCATTTTACACCAGAAATGCTTTTATTTTTATTTCTCAAAAGATATCAAGTTTTGGTGTAGTTTTATAGTTTCCAAAAAGTTACTCATTGGCCTGAGTTACCTTAACAATAGTTTTCTTCTGTTGCTGTTGGGCAATACTACATGCAGTTATACTGATTTTAAGTATTATTTGCATCGAAGTCAAAATACTACTTTCTTTACATTTTGCTACTTTTATGACAAATTATTTTGTATTTAGCACTAGATAACAAGCATCTAGCATGCTCTAGAACCATTTATTAACATTATAAAATTCATATTTGCCCTTTCTCAAGACATAAAAAAATATTCGTTTCTGTAGAATAATGTGCCTTTAAATTTTCCCTAATACAATGATGCATAGTTTTGTCCAGACTGAAAGATGGACAAGTTCATTTAAAGACATATTTAGATCAGTAAGGGTTAGTTAAAAAGGTGTGCAAAAAGGAAATAAATAAACAAATCTGTTCCTGCATTACTGAAATTTGAATTCTTTTAACATAAACAGTAAAAAAGTAAAAAAAATGTTCACTTGAAAAAATAACTCGGGACACGTTAGTACGTTAGTTTGCCATTTACTTTTTATGAATATGAAGATCTGGAGAAAGGTGATCCCTCTGAAGCATAAATCATTATAAAACTATATAAAAATTGCAGCATCGGTTTGATTGAGTCTGTACATGAGGGGATAATGAAAAAGTGCAACATCTCTCATGCCCCCCGCAATGGTTTGAGTGGTGCTCAAATTTCAACCCTTAAAAGTGCTGGAATCAATATTTTCTTCAAGGACTAGAAAAATATAACAACAATGAAGTGAAGTACTAGGCAGCTTTTTACATCTGCAACTCGGCACAGTGAAGTTGACGCCTGCTATTGTGATGTGTAAATCTAAGACATATGACAAATGATAATATTTATGAAATAAACTATAAATTCCAAAAAGAGCTATAACAATTATTTTTGTATTATTTAATCAGTACTTTTTTCAATAATCTTAGGTAACCTTTACCAGGCATTAGCTTTGGTGATAAGACCTATTAAAACTTTATTCCCTATCAGATTATTGTACTGTTATATATTTCTATAGTTTGATTACTTTTACTGTTATAGAAGTAGTTTGCATGTCTTGCATGTTATATATATATATACGTATATATTGTATGCGTTTCCATGTATTGTGTACTTCCAGGTAAACCTCACAAAAAGACTCTCAGGGAGAAAATATGGGGTTCAAGACATGAAGGTAAAACACAACACTTTTTGGTGTGTCAAGCTTCTAAGTATAGAGGTTCTGTACACCTAGGCAATTGGAAATAATTCCTTTTAGCTCTTCTGTTTTGAAGAAAAAATCTAGCTATAATGAGCGCTGCATTCAGCCTTCATCATTTGTCATCATGCAAAAACATTAATATTGCCCATTATTCAAACATTTTAAAAGTTATCAACATGAAAGTTTGAATACATGTACTTGTTTATCTTGACAAGGTGAAGTTGTTAGACAAGGGTCAATTGAAGATCTTAAAGCTATATTGTTTTGAGCTATGCCCGCTTTTTGGTTTTTAGCTCGACTTTTCTATGAAAAGGGGAGCTATCCTACTCGCCCCGGCGTCGGCGTCGGCGTCGGCGTCGGCGTTGGCGTCACACCTTGGTTAAGTTTTTCGTACCACCCCACTTTATTTCAGAAGTATTACAAGTATGGCTTTGAAACTTACCATACTTGTTCACCATCATAACCTCCATCTACAGACAAGAGTACATAACTCTGTCAAGGTTTTTGACAGAATTATGGCCCTTTTTTGACTTAGAAAGTGTATTGAGCTTGGTTAAGTTTTTTGTACCACCTCACTTTATTTCAAAACCATTGGAGGTATTGCTTTGAAACTGATCATACTTGTTTACCATCACGACCTTCATCAACAGACAAGAGGACATAACTCTGTCAAGGTTTTTGACAGAATTATGCCCCTTTTTGACTTAGAAAATACATTGAATATGGGTAAAATCCACTTATTGCCTTAACCCTTTGAGATATTGCTTTGAAACTTTTAATGCTATTTCACATCATTACCCCCATCTGTACGCAAGAGAAGGTAACTCTGTCAAGGATTTGTTTTAAAAATTAAGGCCTTTTATCACCTTAGAATCTTGGTTAAGTTTTTAGTACCAGTCCACTTTTTGACTGAACTGTTTGAGATATTAATTTGAAAGTTGGAATACTTGTTTACAATCATGATTCCCAAACATGTCCAGGAGAAGGTAATTCTGTCAAAGATTTTATTTGAATTATGGCCCTTAACTGTCAATGTTTTGTATTAAAGGCAAGCACTAAAAAACTTAAAAAATCTAAAAAAAATAATTCTTCACTAAATATCTTAATGCTCATGGCCATTGTTCACTTTAAAAATACAGAGATTCTTGTATTGCCTTTTACTGCAAAAACTTTTTTTATTGGCAAGCAATAAAAAAGTCGAGCGCGCTGTCTTACGGACAGCTCTTGTTTGTTTTGTTTTATTTTTTACAGAAGAGCATTTACACTGCATGTGAATTGCTCTTGTTTAGCTACCCGTCAAGTTGCTTAATTTTTAGCTCAAGGAGAGCTGTCCTCCTCACCCTGACAATAGCGTCTACATCACAACACTTAAATACCATCTTTCTGTCACTTATATAAAATCAAGCAACATTGATGGTTCAAACATTATAGCTTTCAGGATGTACCTGTTAATGTATTTTTTTGTTAACGATATTTTAGATTGAAGGTGGGTGTTTTTGCTTGTCATATTTCTAATTGCATTTGTAAATGGCTTGTTGGTTTGTTTGAGCAATCATTTGTATCTTGTTGTGAGTCAATGAGGCATGATAAAATCATTCTATATATATAACATAGTGACGTAATAATCTTACAGACCAGATCAATCCTCATTTGTTATTTTTTTCACCTTTTTTAAGTTCAAATATACCTGCATTACATTACTGTGCATGATATTTGGCAAATATAGTAACACTTTTTGTGTATACCCTGCTGTCAAATATAGTAACACTTAAGTAAATAAAAACCTTTGTGTATACGTACCCTGCTGCCAAATATAGTAACACTTTAGTACATAAAACCTTTGTGTATACCCTGCGGCCAAATATAGTAACACTTTAGTACATAAAACCTTTGTGTATACCCTGCTGCCAAATATAGTAATACTTTAGTACATAAAACCTTTGTGTATACCCTGCTGCCAAATATAGTAATACTTTAGTACATAAAACCTTTATGTATACCCTGCTGCCAAATATAGTAACACTTTAGTAAACTGTATAACCTCTTAAAATATATACTTTAACTGTGTAGTAAGCCTCAGGAAAAACATGCTTTAACTGTATATAATGTCTTGAAATACATGCTTTAACTGTTTAAACCTCTTGAAATACATGCTTTAACTGTATAACCTCAGGAAATACATGCTTTAACTGTATAAATCTCTTGAAATACATGCTTTAACTGTATAACCTCTTGAAATACATGCTTTAACTGTTTAAACCTCTTGAAATACATTCTTTAACTGTTTAAACCTCTTGAAATACATGCTTTAACTGTATAACCTCAGGAAATACATGCTTTAACTGTATAACCTCTTGATATACATGCTTTAACTGTATAAACTCAGGAAATAATGCTTCAACTGTATAACCTCTTGAAATACATGCTTTAACTGTATAACCTCTTGAAATACATGCTTTAACTGTATAACCTCGGGAAATACATGCTTTAACTGTATAACCTCTTGAAATACATGCTTTAACTGTAAAGCCTCAGAAAATACATGCTTTAACTGTATAACCTCTTGAAATACATGCTTTAACTGTATAACCTCAGGAAATACATGCTTTAACGGTATAGCCATGCTTTAACTGTATATAACTTCTTGAAATACATTTATTCATTAACTGTATAACCTCTTGAAATACATGCTTTAACTGTATAACCTCTTGAAATACATGCTTTAACTGTATAGCCATGCTTTATCTGTATATAACTTCTTGAAATACATTCATTAACTGTATAACCTCTTGAAATACATGCTTTAACTGTATAACCTCAGGAAATACTACTTTATCTGTATATACATTCATTAATTTTATTTATTGAATCTCTTGATATACATGATTCAACTGTATAGCCTTAAAGCCTCAGGAAATAATTACTTACACCAGTCCTATAACTTCTCAAAATACATTCTTTCACTGTGGTATTATAATTATGTTACTACCTAAAAATGTATAAACCTCTCAAAAGCATCAGGGCCGGCAAAATCTCAGAAAATTGTACTTGTCCACGGACAAGTAACCTAAGAAATTTACTTGTCCGTACTCAATGTTCACTTGTCCGTATTTATTTTTAATATTTACTGCAAATGTCAATAAAGAAGAGCAATATGATTATGAACTTTCTTTCAATTTTATTAAACATTCTGTGCCATATGTTTAATAATATAATATATTATGATTATAATATAATATATTCATAAAATGTTAACAGCAGTAGATTAAAGTAGAACAACAGTGATCGACAAATTGTGTATATTTTACTGGAAGGAGCTTTGGTCTTTGACTTTTGCCAGCACTTTTTCAGTTTTCCTTGCACCCAAATTGCTCTAAAATATTGTCTTCATTTTTTTGCACTCTGGTACCACTTCTTATTTATTCACTCCTTATTCTATTCATCTATATAATATTCATTTGAATCCTGTTAACTCTTGAGTTAGATTTGTCTAATTGATGACATCTGGCTTTTTTAACAGTATAATTATGATTGCCACAGAATGTAATATCATTTACGTATAAACGCTTGGTTGCAGCAGATGAATTGTGAAAACTTTGACATCATTATTATCGACGACGATGAAACTGACATGTATACATTAACACCAGTATTAGACATTCAAAAACAAAGGCATTTTCACAAGAAATCTTTACATAAAATAAATTATAAAATGACTTTGTCCACATAAATTCAAGCAGTCAAATTGCCGATGTGAGCGTAAATATTCCCGAATGACCTGGAAAAGCTATACAATGTATTTAATTTTCGTACGACACAGCGGTATTTTAAAGACAATTGTTGCGAGATTGATGCTGTGTCTGCTATCTAAACAATAAATGCCCTTGAAAAGACCACAGCTTCCAAGTCAATTTTATGGCAGAATCCCCGTTGCTACTGAAAATATTTTATTGCAGAGGCTAAGTCGGCAGTCATAAACCAAAACAAACATGTACCCCACATAGTGACCTTGATACGTTCAATAATTAGTTAATTGCCGCGCGCATGCAGTAACTGCATGACGTAAGGAAAACCCCAAGCCTGGTTGGTCGCTATTTATGTAAACACTTAAAATAGTAACACCCTAATATGCAGGGAATGCCCTCAGGAATGACACCACACTTCACACGCTAGTTTTCGTATTAAAAGTGTGATTTTTCTTCTGATTTAGATCTATTAGAAAGGACTAGATATTTTCTTCAGAATTCCTCTTTTAGCCGCCGAAATTTACTTGTCCACGGACAAGTAAACTGCAGAATTTTACTTGCCCAGACCTACAATTGTACGACTCGGGCAACTCGGACAATTGATTTTGCCGGCCTGCATGCATGTATTTTCACAGTATATGAGAAACAAACTTAAGGCTCTTCAACATTATCCAGTTAATTATTATGTGTATAGACCTACATACAAAAAATTTTCTCAATAAAAAATGTCTGATCTTCCACTTAGTGTAATATTATATTCTTTCCCTGGTATTTTATAGTGACATTAATTAACAGGTTTTGCTGTACTATGAAAATCATTTAGTATCGAATATCTGTCAGTTTGTTATATAGCAAGACAAATGACAGCTTCCGTAGACAGCAAGGCTGGTTAACTATTGTTTTGCAATTCAAACAAGATTTAAATAACAGAGAATATCAATTTTCTAGATTGAGTGCCGACCAGAATGTCCAATTTATGACATGACCGCCATAAATCACAGAGGGAATAAAACTCTTAATATTGTTGCTTTCTATTGAAATTGTTTTGTATTAAGAGACTTAGGGTCAAAACAATTGAGATTCGACACAGAATTGTAAGTTACCAGTAATAAAAGAAAGAAAAAAGAAGAAAATAAAAGAGAGAAATATATATTAGCCAACTTGTACTTAATTCATTACCAACAAAGTTTGTTACTTTAATTAAGTCATAAAAAACATTTTTTGTAC